CCGCCCTCCGCCGCCGAAGGCGGCGGAGGGTGGCTTTTTTCGATAGGCGTTCGAGTGCAGTTTACGGAAATGAGCAAAGTTCATTTCATAATAGTAGCAACTCTGAATTGATATTAAACCCTCAGAGTGTGTTACTTCTCTCCCTGAAGTCAGAGTGCCGCCCCTTAAGACGAAGTACCGCCCTTTACAATCACATTGCTGCTCTTTGAAGTAGAAGTGCCGCCCTCGGAATTCGTGATGCCGCCCTCGGAACTCGTGATGCCTCCCTCAGAAATGGTAGTGCCGCCCTCTGTACTCGTAGTGCCGCCCTCTTGACCGCCCTCTGAAGTCATAGTGCCGCCCCCTGAGGTCATAGTGCCGCCCTTCGCAGTCTTCTTGAAGCTCCCTGAAGTCATAGCGCCACCCTCTGAAGTCATAGCTTGCATTTTGAAGTAGTATTGCCGCTCTCTAGTCTAAAGTAGTGTCACTCCCTGAGGTGGTAGTAACTAGTAGGTATCCCTCTGAATTCCTGAAGCCGCCCTCTGAAGTCATATTGCCGCCCTTCGCAGTCATAGAGAAGCTCCTGGAAGTCACAGCGCCGCCCTCTTGGAGTTTTATATCATCATATCATCTCTAGAGTCATATTGCTGCCCTATAAAGACACAGCAGGGCCTCGGCTAACATGGAAGGGGAGGTGGCAATTGCTCCCGCAGGGGTGGCCTGTAAGTGGTAACCTGCTATACCCAAGCCCGGGTGCGGATCTTAGCCAACTTCGCTCATTTTTCCCCTCTTATCCGGGCGCATAGCTCGTGAACCGTAATTGTTACAGCGTCACGGAAGAGTGCATTTGATAGAGCCTTGGAAGCTCCCGCTGCGTAGTCCTTAGATTCGAGCTCAGTTCAACAATTTGGCCCACAGAGAGCAAAAACCGCCAAAATAGACGGATCTCGCAGAAGCATTTGTTCCATTTTTTATGCATACGTACCTACTTCATCCACGTATGGTAGGCACAGTTTTTACCGCCATTGTGTCTCTCTTATCGAGAGGCGTTAAATTATTAATAGTTTGACCTAAATTCAGTTGCATGCTCTAACCGAAAAAGGTCATGCTGTGCATAGACTGATCTGTGTTGTTGAACTGAAGGTATTACAAAATACATCGGCTTTCATCACTCTACCATGTCTTCTTTTAAAGTTATTGTCAAATATTCTGATGACTTCGGTGACCTTTCTGGTGACCTTTACACTCACTACAGGCTCCTGCACAGACCGGTAGGGGCCATGCTGGTCACTGAGAGGTCACACTGGTCATAGGTCGGTCTCTAAGAGCTCCATGTCGTCGACCTCTGAGGACCCCACACAGGCTTCGGAGGCTGCAATCGGCCCCCGTAGATCCTATCTCCGGTCTTAGATCCTTGAGGGATCAAAATGGTCCACGAGAGCCCCACGTCAGCCTCAAGAGCCGATGTCGATCTTCTATAGGGCTTTGCACTGGTTGAGGGCTGATACCCTAAGCTTTAGGAGGGCCCAACTCGGGTTATGAGTTCCTCTGATTTAGCCTCTCTCTGATGGCTCTATGTCGCCCTCCGGGGTCTCAATCCGACCTCTATAAAGGCCCAATCATGCAGAAGTGCTGAATTCTGGCTGTGCTGTCGAGGCTCTCGATGTGGCCTCTGATGGCCCAGCGCCAGACTATGAAAGACCCCGCGCTGGCTTCTGAGGACCCAGCACCAGTCTCAGTTTTCAGAAGACAGAGGTCCCCACGCTGGCCTCAGAGTTCCCAACGCTTGCCACAGAGGGCCCTACACCGACGAAAGAGGGTCAGGGTCCCAGGCCCACACTGGCCTAAGAAGTCCCAAATTGTCCTCACAGGGCCCTATATAGCCTCAGAAGAATTTACGCCGTTGGTCTTAGAAGGCCTGCGTGCTTGCTTTTTAACCCGCGCCCCGTAGGGCTACCGGCGGACCCTACCACCCGTAGGGGGGGGGGGGAGGGGGCCGTATCGGCCCCCCCCTAAGATCTCGGAAAGTTACCGGCCGATTTTCAAAATTCAAACGGCATTCGATAGCCCCACCCGGGAACTACCTTGTAACCAAATTTCATTGACCTAGGTCAAACCGATGACGTCACAGGTCAGGTCAAAGGTCAGATTTTCACCGTTCACAGGCATTTCAAGAAATGTGTTGTGAAATCGAGTAAATTGGTAATTTATTGAAAACCATCGATGGTACATTGTTCGTCAAACACATACCTTGCTATCTGAGGTCACTGATACCAGGTCAGGTCACAGCGAGGTCAGGTCACCGGGGGTCACAATATGAAAGTGTCGTATGATGCATGTGTTATGGTCCATTTTACATGACAAATGCGATTATGTGGGTTAGGCAGCCTTTGGGGCCAGCCTAGGTCACGTTTTGGTGAAGGTCAGGTCAAGGTCAGGTCAAATTAGGTCAAATTTCAAAGTTGATATTTTTGAATAAAATGGGTATCGATTCGATGCAGCTCGTCACGCGGAGTCTAATGGTGGTCTTTGGTTTGCTCTACGAGGTCAAGATTTGCCAAAAATTGAGTTGGAAAATTTGACGTCATCATTTTTGAACAGTTTTTTCGCTATAACTTGGCCAAAAAACGAGGTATCGATCTGAAATTTGGTATGTAGATAGAAAACGGTAGGTACTATCACATATATTCCGTTTTTTTCGAAACTCAAAAAACTTTTTGGATTTTTTGGCAAATATATCCAAAAAATGCTTTTTTGATTTTTGGGGGTCAAAAAACTCAAAAATACTAAAAATCCGAGATAGCAGTTTTGTAGCCCTGTCAATTCTTCACCTCTTATGTCGTGATCATTTTTCTGTATCTTCAAAGCTGTAGGCCTGACAGGTCTTCTCGCGAAGGTCTTTTTTCGGTCGAAAATGACAGAACATGACGTCATTCTGACGTCATTTGTGGCCAACCTATCATAGCCTCTGGAAAAATTTTTGGTCACAATGTGTAAAATTGATGCCCGGAGAGGTTCTGAAAGTTTGGTGGCGATATCTCCAGCCGTTTAGGAGATATCGACCGAAAAGGACAGGGGGGGCCGTTTCGGCCCCCCCTACGGGGCACGGGTAACGCCACCCCCCCCCCCACGTTTGGCCTTTTAGGGTCCCCAAAGCGGCTTCTGAGTGCCCCATGCTAGCCACCGAGGCCTCGTCCTAGGCCTTCGGGGGCCCTACGTTGGCCTCTAAGCCGCTCGGTAGAAGAAGGTAGGTATACTTATGCTTGGGCGAATTTGGTATACCGTTGCCTGTGCATGTTACATGCGGTATATACGGCGTATGTATGCTATGTGGTGTCATTGTCTGGTTTGCCCCCCTAGTCGAAATTCCTTAGCCATGAAGGCCCTGAGACACAGTGCCACCCTCTGAAATGTACGTAGCTTCCTCTGAAGTCGTAGCGACGTCCCTGAAGCCAGTGCCAGATTGCCCCCTTTCCGAGGGAGAGGGGCTTCCACCCCTTACGTTTCTTTTTCGCGACTGCTCCGGAGCCGTTTTCGATAGAGAGCTGAATCCTGGCCTACATGAGCCCCCATCCAAACCAGACCTTATGAGACCTGATTCATTTTCAGGTTAGGTCAGGTCACTGACCAATGTATAAACCTCTAACGGTTATAAGTAAACCTCTGCACGGTCAAAAAAAAAAACGTCACAACTTCGCAACGCCTCCAACACCAGGCAAATTGTCTGAGGATGATGACACTTGCAGAAAGTAACAAGCTCCCGGGTACTCATACCTACTTTGTTTATCTGAGATTTTCGTGCAATTCATCCTGGATCAGGTGATTCACGTGACCTCCCCCATTATAGGCCTATGGGGAAATACTGAACTTGCTCTTTTTGCAATTTATAGGCATGCTAGAGAATCCGCCCGAAGACACATAGAAACGTGTTTTCATACGCTCTTCAAAGAATTCCGGGCCTTAATTTGGCATTCTAATTTTAATGACGTCACAGAGGACGTCATTCTTTTGGGTCATCATCGTTTTTCGTTAATAAATTTTCGACCAAATTGAGTTAAAGTCGGGAAAGGCACCATTCTGATTGAAATGAGCCTCCAAATCGGCTAATATGCAACTTGACCTACCTAGTCCGAGCCGTGTCCTGAGGGGGCTTGACCTGATGACCTTTGGGTCAATCTTGATTGTGACCTTTTCCGAACAAAGAGCTTCTACACTATTCGATGCGGCTTGAGAGAAATACGATTATACCTAAATTTTTGCTGTCTCCAATTTTTGCGAAGTTATTTGCCAAAAACCAAACCCCACTTTAAGGTAATTGACCTGACCTCAGAGGTAACCAGTTGACCTGCGACCTTAATTTTGAATACCAATCGCTGCGTCTCGTGACGGCCGTCAAGGTCGTTTTTTTCCGCTGGACTGGCACAGACCCTATGAATGCCGCCCCCCGTAGGCGGAAAATGTGCCGCCCCTGTGCTTGACTGCCCCCACCCTATCGAAATCCTAGATCCGCCCCTGCCTCAACCCACTTAATAAAGTTAGATAAGTAAACATTTTCTGGAAGATTAAAGCCTGCCCTAGATACTGTTTAAAACTTATTGCACGCATTCCAGAATTTAATCAACTTGTGATCACATTTCGGATTTAAGTATAACCTATACCATGAGCCATTATGTAGGCGTGTTCTGACTTCACAAATTATGCCTTTATTCCACCACTCTTAATAAAACTCAAATTGATCTATGATAAAAGTATCCTCGAAAAGGTCCTAAGGAAAATATCAAATGACATAATGCATAACTTCAGTCATATGGCTGCATCGGAATCGGTTCCTGCTCCTCAAATACTGACGTGGGCTTTACATTAAATCCATGTGAAGTGATGACTGTTGATAGGGTAACTTCAAAGACTTGGTTGATATGAAAACGAGTTAGTCGAACACATCGTTGTTTGGCTCAAAGTAAAGATAAAAAGATGATGATAAAAGCCGAATCCGACAAAAAAAAAAAAAAAACGTCACCGTATCGTTCTTGTAGCCTTTTATTGCAGCAATATAATGCACAGCACGTATAAAATAACTATCCATGCAAAATGGAGGCCAGCAAAAAAGTGGAATTAAGTCGCGAAATCCAACAACATAACATCGGCGTCAAACAGGAACACCGTACTATTTAGAAAATTTGATATGCTTGACTTTTTAACATCATGTGGTTGACGTGGCAGTGGTCTCAGCATAACATGACATAGCTTTTCTTGGCAACACATTGTTGATCTGCGATCACCCTGTGAACAAATAAGAAAATGTGCTGTTCAGTCTCCGGATAATTAAGGCTGACGAACAAGAAACAAAAGCAGAGTAAGCGTGCTTAGTATTCGTGTTAAGCGATATATCACTTACCTAGCATTTACGTGTATATCACATCGTACATTACTGAAAACGAAAACACTTATGACAACGAAATGGCGCAGCTATATGTGTGATCTGGAAAAGGTGCAGTACAAGCTCTATATGTAGCGTTCGACTCTCAGCGTAAGTACAAAAAGAAATAAAACTTTTTTTTTTATAAATTTAGTCCGAACCTTTTGATGGGAAGGATTCACAAGGACAGAGCCACCGCTAAGCGAAGCTTGTTGCGATGACCCTGCCCTCTACCCTCCGATCGCGCAATTCCGATTCTATGGCAGAATTTAGAGTCCAAAGTTTAACGTGCGCACAAAGCCGCGCACGGCCGGTCCCCTCGCTGACTTCACCTGGCTACGGCCTGCCACCAACCGCAACCATACCTGTCAGGAGGCCCATAAATGTCGAGCGCCCGTCGCGCTTCGAACCCGGACTGTCATAACCGGGAACGCGTGCTCTCACCACGCGGAGTCCAACGCTCTAACCAACTGAGCTACGGGACCGGCAAAACATACCTGAATGCTCGTTTTTATCACACACAAAATACATCAGTGAGAGCACAGCCAGCTGATGCTTTACGCCGCAGTCATGCACCCAGCGCCGGGTACACCAGTCTCTTGGGCAGCACCGAGTTGAAGTCGCTCAGGTCTCCCTCCTCGTGGTAGTAATCCACCAGCGATCCGAGACTCGAATGAAAGGCGTACGGCTGTGAGAAACCGTAACCTCGCTCCCCCCAGAAGATGGGACAGTGCTCCACGCGACCTTGCGCACAGATGGACAGCACGAACATATCTGGCCGGTCACTGCGCCGGCGGATCAGAAACGTGCCGTCCGGTTTGTCGCGAAGCAAGGCCTGGGCGCCATCGCGGTTGCAGCGCTCGAGCAGCCAGCGGTCCTGCTGTTCGGAGAGGGGCTCGCCCTGGCCACTGGCCGGCTCAGAGCCGCGGCCTGCCAGCAGCGTCTCCTGCTGGGCGTAGCTGACTCCTCGCCGCTGCAGCTGCCGCTCCACGTCTCGGATGTCCTGCATCATCTGGCGCTCCTGCTGGTGGACGGCGCCCAGGTCGCGTTCGGTGGAGCGCAGGGACGTCACCCAGCCGTGCAGCTCCTGTCCCATCTGGTGCTGCAGCTGCTGCACCCGCTCCCGCTGCAGCTCCAGGTGACGCCGGTTCTCCTGCACTCTGAGAAGGAGAGACACGAAGACATGTCATCGGCTGGCCGATGACGTCATGGAAAGGTCAACAGATCAACAAAACTGACAGAAAGGAAAGTATGTTTTAATCAATACTGTATTGGGAACGCATGTGATGCGTGACTTACGCCGCTTAACTTTATATAAGATGGCCTTTCAGCTGATGATACTATATATTCCATGTAATGCATGATGGCTAATACACCACGCATCGGTCTACCACAATCCTCCATCACAGCTTCAGTCTACGCCCGTGATGACGAAGAAATTGGCAGAAGTTGGCAGCTCGCCTCAATGCATCCCTGCACAGCTCGCCCCATCTATCGATCGCGCGCTGGACGATGCTGCGTGAAACTCACTGGTCTCGCTCGTGGAGCTCTGGCCGGATATTCTTCGCTATGTGCACCTGCTCGTTAAACATGAGCAGCACCTCAGCGTAGGCCTCCTGAGCCTTCTTATGGTTAGCGATAGCAAACGAGCGCGTGTCGCTGCGCCGTTCCAGCAGCTCCAGCTCGGCCGTCACCTCGTCGTAAGCGTCGCGCATGCCTCGCAACTGCTCCACCAGACTGGAGATGGTGTGGCCGTCACCAATCTGCGGCCACAGGGCATCCGGTGAGCAACGAACCTACGTCAAGATGTTACGAGAAGCGGACACAGTTTCTGTTGAAACACAAGTCACACAGCTCCACTTGCCCGCGAATCGGATTTTGAGTCACGCTGCTCTCCAGAAACGCATGACAACCACAATGTTCGCTAATTTCCTTATCGACCCAGGATGTCCACAGCCCTGTCAGCTAAAACAAGGATGTTGCACTTGCTGCAACTTCTGCCAAAGCGCAAGCGTGCGTTTCGAGCGTTGAAATGTGCTAATTAGTAGAGCGTACTATGACGGGGTATGCAGAAAAGGGACAAGCTGACCGATTAAGGTTCCATCCGTTGTTTAGCCAGCATAATAATTTGAAATCGAGAGATCACACCGCTCGGCATCGCCTTGCCGATTAAATTCTACTCCTGACAACATCTCTGGGTAGGAGATTCCTTCTATTAATACTCACCGGTCGTGGCTCCACCAGCGGCCTCTCGAGCCGCACATTCAGCTGGGGGTTGTACTCCCGTAGACTCTCTCGTCGGTAGTAGTCGATCAGACTCGCCATCGAGTCGAACTGGTACGGCTCCGAGAAACCGAACCTGCCGTATTTAGAGCAGATGCGGATGAGCCGGTTGTTGCCGCCCTTGCGCAGACAGAGCGTGTACTCGCCGCTGGCCGTCTGAGAGTCCCGCACCAGGAACGTGCCGTCCGGCTGGCCGTTGAGCTTCTCGGAGGCCTCCTCGCGACTGATGTTGCCCCAGTACCACTCAGGCTCTGGCTCGGGGCTGAGTTCTCGGCGCGGACGCGGAACTGGTGGTGGGTCGCGGCTGGGACGCGGGGCCACTTCTCGGCTCGGTCGGGGAGGGAGTGCCGGCGGTGGTCCATATCTTCCGGTTATGCCGGGACCCGCCCACTCGTAGCTCATCGTTCGAAATGCTAAGAGCGAACAGCAGCAGGCGTTCAACTACTGCAGGATCAGATCTACCTGAGGAAGGGATCACAACACTCATCAATGGTTGACGAAAGACGAAGGTGGCAGGGGCAACGCTGGCGACCATTTTTAATCGGCACCTTTCTGCACGACAGGCGCACCATGGAAAACGCTACATGACAGAACTGTGCTTTGTACCAAAGGGAAAATCACACAAGCGAATGGCTTTGTGTATAGCTTAAATGACGTCATGCCTTATCCCTTCACCAGTGATAATAACTATAGACAAAAGTAATGCCAATGTAATGCCAAACATTACATCTCACAAAGACAGATGACATCGTGACAGCTTTCTGCACCCAATTAAACCACTCAAATATGAAGTGAAAATATACAAAAGTATCTGTTCTATAATCAAATAAATAGACAGGGCACACCATTATAGGAACGTCACTCAGCACCAAACACGATACAGTTTTGTTAGAGCAAACAGTGTGAACGACCACTGCTATATTGGTTTAGTGAAGCGTGTGACCGTTCTATGCTAGTCTAACTCACCTGCTAAACCCGGTCCGGCTATGCAGCAGGTATGCACCCTTTAGCCACGCTTTTTCCACAGCACCGACACAGGCACAACACTCGGCAGTAGCATCTCGTCTGATAAAGCTTGCCATGTCTCTGTGGCCACATTTCTTATCGCGGCACTTCCACCCACAGAGGAAGGAGCCGGCGTTCAGCACAGAGCCTGTCCCTGCCGCTATCGGACTGTGACTGCAGTTCTGCCCTGAGTGCCCTGCGGTAGGGAATGCTGTACTTATTTTAGGTGAATGCCACGTTATAATAGAATGTGGGTCGTTTTCTCAGTGGCGTATGACGTCTGATAGCGTGCTATACGATAAATTTATTGATAACCTCGGTACATTGTACCATAAAAACATTTGTTGCCATCGGGGATCATTCGAGGCAATCGCGTTCGACAGCAGACTTCGGGTTGCGTGGATAAAGAACATTTCCTCGCATTACATGATTGCGAATGAAGCTCAATCATTTTTGAATGCTAAGCAGCATGATTTCATCGATTAGATTAGCGTCCTCAATAAGATTTCATATCTTGACCCTTATCGACAGAACAGAAAACGGTTACAACTGCCATGCAGTTTCTGATGGGTTACAAACAAAATACTTTTCAATGTATGCATTGTAGCCAGGCTGTTCTTAAAACTGAAGTTAGCTCAGTAATAAGACGACTGACCAGCCAAAAATGCGTCCTTTCATACGGTCTGGGATGCATCGTTCTTCAGTTTATTTTACGGCCATCCGTGGTACACACGGTGCTGATTATTTGTCTAAGCCATTGAATGCATAGCTGAGCTGGTGTTAGGAAAATCAATAGTTTTCTTTTTGTTTAAGGAATTCCAAGCTGGTAGCACTACTTGCTGTTTAGCCCCTGGCCATGCTTGCCGATCTACTCGCAGCTCCCTTACTAAAGACGTGTGCGGGATATTGGGCCTTTGCCGCGGACAGTGTCAGACACTGGATTATGTTCACAATGCCCAGCTATCCTGCGGACTTCCACGCATCGGGAAACCATCAATGGGCTATGGACGGAAAATTAGCATACATATTAGCTGGTCATCATGCATGCTAATAGAAGAGCCTTGGCGACCCATGTCACAGGCTTGACGGAAGTTTGGCCAGGCGGCGCAGTGGGATAAATCTGGTTCGACTCGGTAGAAGTAGAAGTATCGGTCAATTTCGGGCATTGACGGCACGTCCCTGCCTGGTATAGGTACTTTGATCAGCAGCGGAGCCCAGCACTATTGCAGCATTGCTGATGTGTTTTGATGCTCAAAGACGGTTGGCAAGCGCGAGGTCTGAAGATTCTTCGAGTTAAAGGTAGTCTAGAGCCTTTCATCTAAATCCTTTCTTCTAAAGGTCAGGTGAACTATTCTCGTCTTTCAGTAATTCTCAAAAGAAGTGCTGTGATGAGATATTACATCTCCGGTGCCTGGTGAGGCATATACACAGAAAAATATTGACACCGTTAGCGGTGTAATTGCACAGTACATATCTGAGCACTTGAGGAAAGTTAATTTAGTCCCTTCCCCGCTTAAATTACTCGCGCTTCTAAATGAACACCAGGAAGAAGGTAATAGAACACTGTTAGGAGGGTTGGGTGTTTTACTACATGTAGCAAAACACCCAACCCTCCTAACAGTGTTGTATTACCTTCTTCCTGGTGTTCATTTAGAAGCGCGAGTAATTTAAGCGGGGAAGGGACTAAATTAACTTTCCTCAAGTGCTCAGATATGTACTGTGCAATTACACCGCTAACGGTGTTAATATTTTTCTGTGTGTACGTCACCAAACATTTCTATTCAACCGCCATCGCTGCCAAGGATAGCGACCGTCAATGTAAGCCAATGCCATCACAGGCATGCCCTTTAGGGCACGGTGATGTATATCTACGCCGCGTGCCGCGTGCCAGTCGGGTCACGAGGCCTCCCTCGGGCGGCTGGCGGCTCTGAGCCTATATGATACCCGGCCGAGCACGTCCCAGGGGACAACATGGAGCTGTGTAATGTGTGTGCAAGAACAGACTTCAGAGGATGGGATGGGAACAGAGCGGTTTACATACATAGACTTCAGAGGATGGGATGAAGACAGAGCTCTGTACATAATAGAGTACAGGGGATGCGATAGGGACGGAGCTGTGTAAGAAGGGTAGGAGCTGGCCTATTCGCATATCCGCATCCCTATAGCTTTTTATTCAAGCTGAGCCATGGTCCTCTCAACAGCAAAAATGTGATTGTTTCGATAAAAGGATTCATGTGCGGTGCCTGATTTTTTTTTTGCCATTTCACACTGTCATCCTGCTTTATAGGGCTGGCTAGGCCTCAGGTCGAAACAAAATGTGTCATTGCAGAAGAATATCTTCCAGCACCGCATTCAGCTGAAAATATCCTCCCGTGGGGACAGCTCGTTTTGATGCCGTTGGGACGTTGGGTTCAGCAATGGCCGCTCTCTCATTCACAGACAGGGGCTTTGGCTTATCAAGCCTGATGAAGCTCAGACTGCTTCCTCGGCTGTGAGCGCCGTCGGCTGATATGTCCGCCACCAATGCACGCCACTCCCTGTCGCGGTCTGCAGAGCTGAGGAGGCTACCACGCAGTGTCGACTGTCGAGCTCCCCCGCGTGCCGACGGTCGGACGGACGGGTCATGTGTGCGCCAGATGCCGCCACCCTCCCGTCACCTCCCCTGCCCCTCTCTCGACTCCTCTAACCAGCAGCCTCCTTCCTCTCACCACCCGCCGCCCTCCCCTCACCTCCCTAGCCCCCTCCCTCTCTCCTCTAATCAGCTGCCTCCCCCTCTCACCACCCGCCTCTCTCCTCTCCTTAACCGCCTCCCCCTCCGCCCGGCAGCCTCCCCCTCTCGTTAACCGCCTCCCTCCTCTCACCAGCTCGTTGCACGCTGAACGCCTGCCTGTTGCACAGGCTGCACTAACAATTCAGGGCCGGGCTGCACTCAGGACAGAACCCTCTGCAAAACAGCTCGCTCTCTTCTATCGTGCTGATGTGCTCTTATTCATCATTTGTTTGTCACGTGTCTCTGCAATCAGGTACTTTATATGTTGGGTTAATTGCAAAGCTATGTTGTTTTCAAATAATATTGACAATGCATCACAATGGCTTACCTACATGACTGGGCATAACTGAACTTTGCAGCTCCTTTTTATTTTTGAGACTAGTTATGCCATTTGTTACAATAGACTGACGTTGCTCCGATTTTGTTAACACTCGACTGTAGCGACCATAAACGGCGATCTCTTTATTTTCACAGTTCATATGAGGCAGTGAGGCACACGATCCAAACGAAGCCACTAACGACAAATGACTGACCAGCTTCTAGTCATTCATCCTTTCCAACTAAAAATATTCTTAGACAATGCAAGCCACAACATTTTTACCTAGAGCCGCTCACGCTTCTTCAGAACGACGAGGCTCGGCCTTGGCTTCATTTTGCGTCGTCATTTTGTAAATACCAGGATCCGTATCACGATCGCGATTCCAGAACTGAGGCTAGCCAGTCACCACAGCAGGTGTTATTGGCGCCAAACAGTCTACTCGCCCCTAACTGAGCCCCTGATCTCGCCGATTTTTACCGTCTCGAAAGTCGTCGGTCTGGGCCGAGTGGCGGCGGAACAGGCCGGAGCTCACAGCGCCCCTGGCGGCAGCTCGCCGAACTACTGAAGCCGAGCCGTCGATTCAGCTAAGCGGAGCGGATGGGGGACCGATTCCGCGAATCGGTGCGTCGTGTGACAGGATGGAGCTGCCAGCTCTGGCCCGCCTCCTGAGCAGAGCGGTATAGTTGTGGTCACTGCCCCCCCTCCGTGTACCGGGACACCTCGTACAAGCGACACCGACAGCTATAACCTGACACATTCACCGGTCTCACGAACTGACACTGGTCGTGATAGAATTGTGGGCTCGCAGGTGGGAGGTACTTACAAGTTTAGGTACTGCCGTTCCTTCGAGAATTACAAACGGTGCCACATTCTGGTGTCACACATATCAAACAAACAAAGCCGTTGCTTTCTCGAGAATTCGTATTTACAGAAGGTCATCTTTTATTATTCCCTCATCACCTCTCGTTCCTTTATTCTCTGGCGTTGTCTTTCATTTAAATGAACAAAAAGTCGAGTCCAGAAAATGCATGGTTTGAGGGTAATGATACAACATGCCGATACGAGGATGAGCAATGGCTTTTCTTCCTCATTCGGCAAGTTTCACAATTGACATCTCCCAGACAGCACACTTGCAGGCACCTGGCACTTCAAGCCCGGGCACACCGCATGGAAGGGCGTGGCTTGCGGGCAGTTAATGTCTGATCTGAATAGATAGCGAGTGTCTAAGTTTTAGTTTGCTGCCCTGGACCCCCAACAATATTATAGACCCTCCATGATCCCTCAAAATATCTCGTTGAGTTTCACCTGGGGCTGAGTATAGGTGCTACTATTGGAACATTTCAATTACAACTTGAATCGGGCAGTACCTATTTAGGTAAATTTAAAGTGGCAAAAGCTATCCATTTAACTTGTATTTATTGCCTCCTTTGTTCGAAAATGATTTGAGGTTTTGAAAGTAAAACATGCCAATTTAGAAGTGCCAGGGTGGACCTCTTTCATTCCAGAATATATGCCGGTATACGTTAACCTATGATGCATTTCATACCTGCTTATATAGTAGATGTATGTATGTACATAGGTCATATAGGTACCTACGTGTCAAAAATATAAGAATAAAGGATCAGCCCGTATGATAACTCATACATTTCTTCGCATGCGGATTCTCGTTTTTTTTATGTGCAGTGTCTTGAGCTTAGAAAATATTTGCTTTCCCCCGTTTCCAGACCACATCTGCAGTCTCCTGCTAACGTTAGAATTTTCAAAGATGGGTCCGGGTCTGCCATTGCACCGCGTCTCTGGATTTCATTGAGGAGACCTCGGGCCTGTGGCTTCAATTGCCAGCCCCCACCACAGACGGACAGAGCAGCCAAGGCCGACGGTGGCGTGCCACAGGCGGCCCCCGAACCGTCTGAAACACCGCAGCGATTGCGGCTGATTGAACCCCAAATAGCCGCCCCAACAGTGCCGATGGAAACTAGTTTCCTCGAGGCGCACGTCAATAAGCACGGGACAATTATGTGGCTGTTGAAACCTAAAGCAAGGAAGCATGGGAGGGTATAGACTTAATTGTATGCA